CTGAACATCCGTTTGCACACCACTTTCCAATAGAAACAGTGGCACGAGAAACACACCAGGTTCCCTGGTAACAAATAAAAGAAAGAGAAGAAAAACGGAGAAAAAACAGGTGGAAAAAGAACGGACCGGAGGGAAATCTGAGCAACGTTTCGCCCTCTCGCGGATTTATCATTCCTCACATCCGGCGAACGGTTGACCTTTCTCTCCGGCTGATTCCGGCCCGGTCTCGCCGCCTCTTTGAAATCGATATTCGCTTCTTTTCCTTCCGGCTGGTCGAGCCGCGCCGCCGCCACCGCAGCTCTGTTCACCCCGTTTCCTCGTTTCCGTCGAGAGGGAACACAGCCAGGGAAGAAGAGCGGAACAGGTCGTGTTGTCGAAACGGAATTGGCCTGATCAGCGTGGGCGACCCCCGGATCTGATTAAACTCCCGACCGCGTCGAACTCCTGGGCGAATTAGATTGTCCGGGGGTAGCGCGACGCTGGAACTCGATCAGCCCTGAACACCAGCTCGCGAGGACGCGCCGATTTCCAAGGGATAGTTCCGCCAATTGACTTAACGAATTTCTTTTCTTTTTTTTTATTTTTTTTTTTTTATTTATTTTTGGTCCTTCGATTGACTGATGTCACGATTTTTTTTTTTTATTTTATTTTTAGTCCTTCGACCGATCGATGTAACGAATTTTGTTTATTATATTGTTTGGTCCTTCGACCAAAATTCTTTTTTATGTTTAGACCTCGGACCAAATTTTTGTTTATTTTTAGTTCCTCGGCCGATTGACTCTACGAATTCCTTTTCTTATTTTCGTGGCCTTTCAGTCAACTGATTTGACAAATTTTGTTTGTAGTATTTCAGCCAAGCGAATTAACGAATTTTTTCCCCCTTTTTCCTTTTTTGGTTTATTTTTTGTTGCTTTTGTGACCGACTGGGGTATACGATGATCGATGGGGATGCAAAGGGCTGCTCGGAATATCGAACGGGATATAGAGGCGTAGCGGGACGGTTCAGGATGCTTTTAGAGGGTGGTTTGATGGAGCTCGATGTTTCCTCCCTCGAACGTTGTTCGTCCTTTGGGGTTGCGAATGCGAAGCAGATGTCTTGAAGGATTCTTTTATATTTGTTTTACGTATTAAGTTTTGAATACGGGGTTTAGTGGTTTGGGGAAATTTTAAAGGGATCACTTCGGGTCTCCTGCAAGTGAAAATGATACTATATTTGGAATTTCTCGAAAATTTGCTTATGTTTGTCTCGAGCATTTAGCCTGGGATGTGTGGGAGTTGATAATGAATTAAAAATTGCGAATTTCAGTCAGATCTTTTAAAATTTTTGTAAGCCTTGGATATGATGTTTGGTAATGGGAGAAATTTTTAACAGCAAGATTTAATTATCCTCTATGGTTGTATATGTAAATTAGGTATTTTTCAAGACCTATTTATATTCGTTTTACGTATTCAAATCCGAATACACATAGTATTCGTGCCTCCAAAAATTTTATCATACTTATTTAATACACTAAGCTTTGAATGTACTCTTTGAAAATGGTAGAAAGTAGGAAGAATTTAACGTAAAATTGATTTTCTTTCTCTCCTTTTGCAGCGTACCTACATGAAAATTTTATATCGATGCACGAGTCGAAATATCCATATTTCTTTCAATCTCATTTCTATCTTACATACTTCAAAATCTTTTTATGCAGGAGATACGTAGATATTGCGAAAACATGGTAGCATTATGCTTACGATTCACATACACGTATACATACGTCATGACCATGCAGAGAAGGTTCCATACTCCCACCATAATCTTATATAACTCTGTCTGACTTGAAACTTACATATCATGCATGTATATTTTGTGTGCCTTATTTCCTATGCTTGTCACTCGCCATTTTATTCCACTCCTGCATCTTCGTGTAGCTATTTATGTATAACTCCCTATAACTATCATCGAAATGAAAAATTATTTCTCTTCCCACGATCGTAACCTAACGCAACCATACGAAATCAATTTTAACCCCTTAAGGATCGAATTATTTTACACGAAAATCGGTCAAAAGTTCTCGCCCTTTTTATCTGCAATTTAATAAATAATAACGTATTAAAAAGGACCCAAATATTTTAGAAAATACAAATGCACAATTTTCGCATAAATTCAGCGAAGGAGGCAAAACCGTGTCAACACTGTGTAAAGAAAATTTCACACGAAGATCCAAAACTGTGTTAGTAAGAGCATGGTTGTTAAGGGGTTAAATTCGAGATGTCGTGAATCGAATCATCCGGTAAAAAATAATTTTAGAAAATTGTAAATCGAAGGTTTTTATTTTATTTCGAATTAATCGAAAATAAATCGTATGGTATAACACAGATGTCGGTGTTATTCGACATTTGTACGTGTTTTTTCACAGCATTAACCTTTACCATAATCGTACGATATATATGCCAACATTTGCCAGCTCGTGTATGAGCAACCTTAAACGAAACACCCTGCTTTAACGCAGAATCAGGCTATCACGAGCAAACGCTATTTTCTGTCTCTGTTCCAGACGAAAAGTCACCTTGACGTATTGGCAGATGCCATTTTGCGATGGGCAAGAGGACGCTAATTCCTTTGTTGACGATGAACCTCTGACCTATGCATAAAATCATAAGTCTGACGAGTTTACTCCTTTATACATTCATCTATATATATATACATATATATATGTATATATATATAAATATATATATATATAAATATAAATATAATATATAATATGTATATGATATATTCCCATGTATGTGTACGTGTACACACACTCTCCTGTACCCGTACACATATTCAGGGTTTTCGTTTCGTTGCTAGCGAACGTTTCTCTTGCGAGCAGTACCAGGGGGATGAAGGGGGATGAAGTGACTTTCTCTTTCTTTTTCTCAAAAATCAAAAAAACATATATAATATATATATATTACGATATTAAATGAAAGAAATTCCCTATTTTTTTGGAAGAGAAAAACGAAGATTTATCGGTAACTGGGGGATGAAGGGGGGTGAAGGTACACGAAGTAATTTTCCCGTTTCTTTTCTCAAAATAAAAAAAAAAAAAAAGAAAAAATATAAGATTAAATGAAAGAAATTTGCTATTTTGCCGGAAGAGAAAAATGAAAATTTATTAGCAACTGGGGGATGAAGGGGGATGAAGCAATACTTTCTTTCCTTTCCTCAAAAAAAGTAGAAGAAAAATATGAGATTAAGAAACAAATTTGTTACGTTTTTGGAAATAGAAAAGTGAAGATTGATATTTGGATTCGGGCTTGCAACAAATTGGGGGTGAGAATACTCTGAATCTTGACTCGCACGTGAAATCGGTCTAAATTGAAGTCTCTGGGGTGTAAAGAACAAGATATTATTATGAAATATATATCGACAACTCATCTCCCGAAATTTTGAAAGTTAGATCGTAAAATAGATCGGTTTCACTGTATCTGATTCAACTCGGAATATTTAGACTCGGAAGATTTGTTGCTCTAAAAGTCTCGAGTACGAGTTTCCGCGAGACTCGAGCTGTTTGTTCTTCGTATTAGAAGCTCGACCGAGCCTATTTCTCACGGATCGAGTAACTTTCGGCGAAAAATAAGATCATCTCGACCCCGCTAATCTTCACTGTGTTGGAAAACGTTCACCCTCTCGAGTCAGACGAAAGGAAAAATTCGGATTAATCCGCGATTCCAAGGATATTCCATCTCTGCAAGTCTCGGATCGTGTTCCAAGGGAACACCTTCCGCTGTGCGATTCCCCTCTGCCATGGAAACGACGAGCATCCCCTGCGTTCTCCGCGGCGCGGTCCGCTCGCAAAAGGAACGCGTGCTGACGAGAAGACGAACACCCTGCTCGCATTCTCCCCGTTCTCCCGCATCGTCTATTTTGCAGAGAGTTTTCCCTTTCTCCCGTGTAACCGTAAACGCATAATGAGAGATACAGAGAGAAAGAGAGAGAGAGAAAGAGCTAGCGTGTCTGCGAGAACGAGTGAGTGAGAGATAGAGAAAAAGAGAGTGAGCACGCGAGAGTGAGATGTTCACGTTGAAATCAAACTCAGGGGAACGTAAAGATGAATCGTCTCTCGAGCAGCACTCAGCCAAAAGTATGGCGGATCCGTGCTCGATTCTCCGAGGGGTGCGGATTGATTCTTCAAGCGGCCTCGTTTCCACGCGTTCGGCAATACTCCTCGTCGCGATTATGACGCGTGTGCAGGCCGACAGACGCCATGTTCCGAGCCGGATTCAACGGACAAGTGGCTTGACGTTTGCCAACGGATAGCCAGCCGAAGAGGATCCTACGCGCGATTGACGCGAGCTTCCGGCCGGCACCACGATGCGGAACAGATTCTGGGCTGGTTGATGGATGATCGATATAAAGAGGATTGCGTGGTATCGAGAGGTATCCGCGGTTTTCATCTGCTCCGCGGAATGCTCGAGCTTGCTGGAGCTTGGTTCGATATCGGAGATTAATTTTTACACCGGTTCTCTGGGTATAAATATCGGGAATTTTCCCAGATTTCTTGGTATTACCGTGGATCAAATTTATTCGGGATTTGTCAGAGTTTCGGGAGGGGGGAGGGGGGATGTGGGAGATACAACTCGAGTTGTTTTTGAAAGCATTTTTCATTTTGAATTGTTTACAGGTGGGATTTGAAAATTTTTCCGTCGTTTTGGAATTTCCGTGCATTATTTGGATATTGGTTCTCAGTGAAATTTGTGGATCTGATTTTTATAACAAATTTTGAAATGGAAATTTGTAAATATTTTTAATATTCTTCTCCTTCTTTCAATTAATTCTTTCTGGAAATAGAAGTATTTGGAATTAATTTGGTTTGATTGTGAATCATTTAAATATTGTTTTTCGGTAAAATTTATAATGATATTTATAAAAAATTTTGAAATCGGAATTTTATTGTGGATATTTTCCTCGTTCGTGTTTGCTTTCCCTTGGATTACATTCGAGAATGAACGATCAATTTTCTTGCTGTCGGCAACCCATTTCCACGTTCGGAATCATCTGTCATTCCGGGGAAAGAATTTCGTCCGTCATTTCAGGCAGAATTTCGCTGTTCTCTGATAACGTTTCTCGACACGACGGTTTCTTTTTACACGTTCCTCGGTTTGTAGAAAATAACGAGATTAATATGGAATAATAATGATGGATCGAATATCCTTGGATTAACGAAATGCGATTAAAGTGTTAGATCAGAGTGACAGATAAATTACCGCTGACCAGATTCTCCTTGACGAATAAATAACAACTGTCAAAAATAATTCCAGTGTAATAACGAATCGTCTTTAACGCAAACGATCTTCAAAAAGAAACATTTTCACTGAAATTAAAAGACCTCCAGTAAAATTCTCGATCCAAATTAAAGAAAAGCAAACAAATTCTCCTGATCTTAACCACTAGCAAGGATAAATCTATATTTAAAAATTGTAATTAATATCGAACCAAAAATCTTCCACTATTTAACGCTAATAACGTAGAACCACGGATCAGAAATGAAAAATCTAAAAGACAAGTGTGAACGCCTCTGGGAAGATCGCCATCAACCAAAACCCAAAATCGAAAGTGAAAAGGAAAAAACCTCGCCATAATCGATTTTCGCCTAACGCAAAACGCGTCACACGAGGCCGCCCGTCATGGCAACAAGGTTATCCTCATGTTAAAGTACAAATTAAGGGTGTCCGAGGTTTCAAGGAGCGTATAGCAGTAACGTTCGTGCGGCGGCGCTAGTGTAGCCGGTTCCTGTCCCGCTATGGCGCCGCCGATCCATCCGCGGTCTCTTTGGCTGCGATCACGAGAAAAAAAGAGAAAAAAAGCAAAAAAAAAGCAAAAAAAAATACAATCGAGCGATTCCCGCGAACCGTGTGCACTCAAGAACCTTCGACGACTTTATTTTCCTACGACGCGAACGCTACTACAGACTTCGAAGACTGAGAACGAACCACTTTTAGTTGGCTCGGCGATCGCGCTGGACAGCGACTTCCGGTTTGCAATGGGCTCGCGCGTCCAGCGTGGTTCCCGTGCATCGATCGTTCAGCCATTTATGCTCGAGTCACGCGATAGATCGGAAACTCACGTACGCCAATCAAAACGTAACACGTATGATAAGGGATTCGATGAATTTGGAATAACCGACGTTTGAGCGGCACATAAATGGGCTGAATCATCCCCCCTCTTGGTTTCCTCCCGCTGGATTTCTCCTGTTGCGTTCCTTGACGATTCCTGTTCTTCTTCTTGTTTCTTTAATCTCCCTAGAAGTACGTATTATATAGCTTAGCGGTAAATGTTTGACTGTGTCTCAGGCGATACCTACCTTAATCTGCAAATTCTGCTCGTGAACCACGTGGACAGGTGACTCTCGCGCGACTTCGCGATTCGTCGCCTTGGAACGACGCGTTAAGTCCCAGCGCGACCTTTCGATACCTCGAATGCACACTGGCTCTCGCGATCTCCACGACAGGGAGGAAACACCGGTGAATAGGGCAGGACAAAGTTAGACCCCTAGCAGGAGAATTTTGTCTCCGGTTCGTGGATTATCGAAATCTCCCGACGTATCGTCGCTTACGGGAACTCGTTCCAAGGTAGATGGAAGAGAGGAAGGACGATAGAGGAAAATCGAAAAGCTCTAGATTACGAATAGGGACACGGGAAATTGGCGAGCACGCTCGACTAGCCTGTCCACGTCGCGAGAAAATGATCAGGCTGTCGACGATCGAAACGTCTCGATGGAAACGAGACCTGCGTTTGCTGTACTGCCGTGTGTTTGCTTGTTTATAAAAAGGAACGCGAAACGCACGTGGTCCCGAGAGAGTGTGCAGCCTTCTAGAACTCGTTCGAGTATTACTACTTTCGTTTCGTCGAACCTAGAACTGTAAGGATTTACGATTTAACGACTAACGAGAAAACGAAAAAAAAGAACAAAAAAAAAAGAGAAAAAGCAGAAAAAATCTCGTAGGATTATACGCGAATAACGATATATCCAGCTATCGATAAGGGTATAAGTCTAGGAGGTAGAAAAAAAGCAGAAGTAACAAGACGATAAGAGAGATAAGGGAAAGATATTGGCAGACACCGACGAGGCTCAACTAAACGCAATATACAACGCGGAACGAAGACGAACCCTGGGAAGAAGAGGAAGAAGAGGAAGAGGAGGTGGGAAGAGGAAGAGGCTCGCGACACATGTCAAGCGAAAGTCCCCTTTTTGCAAAAGGTCAATTCAGTATTACAGCGTCTAGATTGTACATTGTAAAGTTTCATTTAACGCTCGAACGAGCGGGACAAGGCGATCGGACCTCGCTTCTTGGCCCTCGATCGTTCCCAAGCGGCCGCTCACGCGCCCGAGGGCCTCGAGGAACCGCGAGCCGCCATTTTGTCGTTTATAGCAACGCGTCAAGTGCCAGATTCGTTCGCGTAGACGCTTTTCCGTTCGTAGTTTCACGTAATCCGAGGAAGAGGAGCACGTTTAGTCGACGACTTTGTTTAATCGAGTCATCTGAATACAGGGTTGCACCCTTAACCCTCCGGGACCCACTGTCGAACTATTATCGCTATTTTCGTTTCCGAGCTTCGAATCTTTTG